GTGATTTAAGTTTCGAGCATCAAACCATGATGTCCAATCGTCTTTATGAGAATTTAAAAGACATGCATACCCAAGAATATCTTGCATGCTTTAATCTCCTCTGGGATGTTGCTACAGAGTAAAGAACACTGCAGAAAAAGTTACAGCAGTTTCAAAACTTCTTGCCTTCTTGTTGTCGTCTGACTTAATTCTACTTTCTGGTACTTGTGAACAGGTAGCATTCATTTGTGAGGCTTAAACACAGCCACTGCTTATGTGGAGATTACCTAGGGCTGTGCAATTAATCGTATTTTAATCACAATTACGATTTTGGCCTGCCACAATTACGAAAACACCATAATCGAAAAAAACGATTATTTTGCTTTGCTAGGTTGTGCAACATATTTGATCAAATGTATTTGTATTTATCATATTTATATATGTTTAGTAGCTTGTTTAAGTGCGCTCCAAAATATTTGTTGATCTTGTTTATTAGTATATATTATTTTGATATTATTTATTTAAATGTATCATTTATTTTTTTATTAGTTTTTCAGTTTTTCAGTTTATACTGTTCATGCTCACTGCTTGTAGCACTTCGGGATTTGAAATCAAATATGAAGTGCTTTATAAATGGAACCCATTATTATTATTATTATTATTATTATTATTATTATCAGTTGAATTATACGTTCAGGGAAATCAACAGTTAAAAAGATACTGTTCAAATTATTATTTGTATTTAAAAGTTCAATAAATGGATGTTTTCAAAGTCATGAATAATCGTATTTAATAATCGTGATATCAATTATTGACCAAAATAATCGTGATTATGATTTTTGCCATAATCGCACAGCCCTAAGATTACCCATCCTTCACAGAGGTTACAACCAAGAAAAGTCAATTTAATGAAACTTCAAACAGCCATCCTTAACCTTACGTAATACACACGTAAACACACGTCAATCAGGTCCTCCTCCTCCTCGTCCTGATGTGACTTCCTCAACACACACACTCTTGTTCCTGGTTATAACCACCGACTCCCTGCTGAAAAAGCTTATTAAGATTGCAGATGCTGCACAGAGTTGTTGTCACAATTGCAGAAAACAAAGCGCCCTTATTTCTGAAAGCGGAAGCGAAGAAATTACTTCTTGAAAGATTCATGGAGGAAAAGGGCTGCCGTCACGCTGCTAGTCTGCAGAGATGAGATGTTTAGTTGGTGGCTGCAGGAGTCTAATGCACTTTGTTAAGAGAGAGTTCAGTAATTGTTACGTTTTTCGAATAGACCTCCCTCTCCCTCGCTCTAATTGCACAGGTCAGGTCGGTGACATCAGCCCACTGGCTAGCTGTGATCTCCCTGTTACATATAGAGCCTCATTAGAGCACGGCTAACTGAGCCCCCCCCCCCCCCCCCCCCCCCCCCCCCCCTTTCCTCCACCTCCCCCTCCCCTACAGTAATGAGAATGACAGTAGCTGTAGTAATTACAGTCAGTCCAGTTTCTCAGCAGCTTGCGTTGCAGCCCTGCGACTGGCTGGCCGTCCAAATCACGCTGTTGATTCTGTAAAGTGCCGTCGTCATCGTCAATGATTGCAGACGTCGTTTTTTCCACATAGGATTCAGGACAATTGAAAGAGGGAAAAGAAGAATAGTCGTTCAAGAAATATATATTCGAATGAGTCCCGAAACGGCTTCCTTAGGAAATAGATGACAATAAAACTGTAAAAATATAATGTGGATGTATTTGGGGGTAAATCTTTTTCAGTTTTTTAGCATTTCCTTGTGCATCTCCTTTAAAAATTGGCTTTAAATACCATATACCTTATATATTTGTAGTGCAGTGCAGTGTACCATAGTGACATGAAGAGCTGCAACAATGTCGTTTGATCGACAGAAAAATAATGTCCAACTATACGATGTTGTCAGATATACCAGCCATGTTTCCATGTAAAAAACATTAAACTACACTCCAGATATTCCTTTATTAAAGTGACAGTCCTTTACCTAGTGATGTTACATTGCCCATAATGAGAGGGGGAGACACAGCATATATCTGCTTTTCTCTATATCATATAAGGGTGAATAGTGTTTGGATTTTGGTCTAACAAAACGTGACATGTAAAGACATCTCCTTGGTCGATTATAGTTTGCCTCAGCCCTCGTGTCAAATATACTCGCAGGAACTCTCTTTCCCAGAGTTCAATGCAAACAGATCAGTCCAGAGTCGTCTACTTTGAAGCTGCCTGGCTAACGGAGGTGATGCCAGTGTGAAGGCGTGAGTCGGCGGGCTAATGATGACAGCGACGCACTAATAATGGTTCCCAGTAGCTCCTGTGACAGTGGGGAGTGTATTAAATGGAACACCAGCGCAGACTGACTCACTCGGACCCCCTACCTCCCCCTAATGAGAGTTTGATGGAGTGGTTGTGTAGGTAGATAATGCTAAGTTAATGAGATGTCCTATTCCCTGAGACTGTTTGCAGTTCCCTACAGAGTATGTGTGTGTGTGTTGTATTGATGTATATTGCTGTCTGAGTGTGTGTGGCTGCCGACCTGCGTTACTGAGCAATATACAGATTTATAGTGTGTGAGTAACGTCGGTTTATAGAGCTGCTTTTGTAGATGTTTGTGCATTAGCTTTATAGTTCTGCCATTTATTTTTTTCAAGCTGCCACAGTGCACCCAACAGGAAATTAGCTGTCACATTTCTGAAAGAGTGACGGAGCAGAAACTGTCCGAAGAATTCATAAACGAAACAAAGGATAGAGAAAGTAATGAAACAAAAAATAGTCAGAGAGAGAGAAAAGGAAACGGATCAGCTCAGCGCAGTGGGAGAAGATTTGGCGATGAAGAAGGGGTGAGATAATGGGAGAGAGGGGGATAACCACCTCCCCCATGGCAGGTACATGTCTCTAATTGGGAGTCCCACACCCATCCTGCACCCCCCCCCCCCCTTACTTCCTTCCATCTTCTTCCCAGACAATGCGGTGAGAAAAAGTGGCTTTCCTAATTAATGCAGATATAATGATGGGTCCAACTGTGGACCTCTGCCCCCTTTGTGTGTGTGTGTGTGTGTGTGTGTGTGTGTGTGTGTGTGTGTGTGTGTGTGTGTGTGTGTGTGTGTGTGTGTGTGTGTGTGTGTGTGTGTGTGTGTGTGTGTGTGTGTGTGTGTGTGTGTGTGTGTGTGTGTGTGTGTGTGTGTGTGTGTGTGTGTGTGTGTGTGTGTGTGTGTGTGTGTGTGTGTGTGTGTGTGTGTGTGTGTGTGTGTGTGTGTGTGTGTGTGTGTGTGTGTGTGTCAGCTTAGCAAGATAAACCTGGGATTTTGGATAATCATATATTTACGTGTAATATAATTACGTGTCTATTGATGCAGACTGAGATGAATAAAGCTGATACTGCTTTCACTCAGCGTTGAATGCTATATGCTTATAAGTGAGGTAATTGGCAGGCTGCTTTTGGCTCCTGCATAATGTGGGTAGTGCTTAGAAAATCTAAATAGTCCCGAGAAGAAGAAAAAAGATGCTGCGGCAGCGCCCACACTGCTTCTGCGGCAAGTCATCTCTAGGAAGTGAGGTGGGGAAAAATAAAGCAACAAGGGCTCAGCAGGAGTCACCTGAATACAAAATAGAGATAAAACAAATGCTGCATATTTAAACTTGCTAAAATGAAGTGCAGTACACTTTAGGATCAGTTTACAAGTAATTGGTTTCCTACTCATTACTTAAAGGCCATGCACACCCATACAGGTGTATTCAATTGAAACAAAGCATATTCTCACTAGACTTGACTGAATCCACATTTAGATAAAAGCAGTGTCCCTTTAAACGCTTGAGGTGAATCCTGTCTGCCAGACTCTTAAACATAGGACATACAAACTTAGTGAAATAAAATAAGATAATTTAGTGTGCCAACTCTCTGTGCCTTCTTCACAGCGAATCACAAGCCATGTGAGTGTTGGCTTTGCTGCTGGCAACGCTGAAACACAGAGGTATAAGTGGAGAGGAGATAAAAACCGTCACTAATTGGTTTGCAGGACGGTGCCAGGTCAATGTGGCTTCACTGCGGCTCTGATGCTGGCCAGGGCCAACAGGTTAGGATTCAGGCCACGTTCCCGCCTGTAGCAGTGAGGAGAAGTGCCTCGCTGTTAATGAGATAAACACAGACATTAGAGCGGCTCAGCGGGAGCTCGGAGAGGGCGAGAGGAGGAAGAGAAAGAAGTAGGTTGGTGGGTGAGACGGAGGAGGTGAAATAGCGACGGAGAGATATGAAATATTTAGAGGGAAAAGCCTTGGTTAATTTCTTCCAAGTGTGAGCTTCATTAAAACGAGAACAGAGGTGACGAGTATATTTTGTAAAATGAGACTTCCAGAATGATAATGATGATGATGGTGGTCGTTATGGCAGAGTTGATAAGAAAAACAGAGCCCACTGTGGCGTAACTGCTTTTTTATTGGACAAAATGTTCAAATATTCATGCTCCATATGCTGCGTGACAGCTATAGCTCTTTTTCATGTGCCCACACACACACAGAGACAGACACACACACACACACACACACACTAGTGGATTGTCAGAGCCTGCTGCGACATTATACCCATAACTATCATTAAGCAGTCTTTTTCCAGGCAAAGCCACTAATGAATGTACAGGAGTAAGAGTGTGTGTGTGTGTGTGTGTGTGTGTGTGTGTGTGTGTGTGTGTGTGTGTGTGTGTGTGTGTGTGTGTGTGTGTGTGTGTGTGTGTGTGTGTGTGTGTGTGTGTGTGTGTGTGTGTGTGTGGTGTGTGTGTGTGTGTGTGTGTGTGTGTGTGTGTGTGTGTGTGTGTGTGTGTGTGTGTGTGTGGTGTGTGTGTGTGTGTGTGTGTGTGTGTGTGTGTGTGTGTGTGTGTGTGTGTGTGTGTGTGTGTGTGTGTGTGTGTGTGTGTGTGTGTGTGTGTGTGTGTGTGTGTGTGTGTGTGTGTGTGTGTGTGTGTGTGTGTGTAAACTCACCTTTTTGCATTTGTGTCTCTTTTGGTGTTGTCCAGGTTTGGTAAGAAGAAGGAGGACAAGGGCAAAGATGCTGGCAAATCCTCCAAAAACAAACTGGAGGCCCTGAGTGAAGAGGAGCTGGACAGGATCCCGGACCAAAGAGACGGGTATGACTGGCTGGAAATATGTCTCTGTGTCTTTTTATAGTTTAAAGTTTCATAAGATCGATTTCCTTACATAGTAAAGTGCCAGAAATGTCCCTCTAAACCGCCGTCTTTCACTAAATGTCCGACAGCTATGAGCCGCGTTACGCCACTATCGAGTCTGGCCACGCCACCCCCGACTCGGCCTCCTTCCCCGACGTGGAAGACGACGACAGCGACCCAAACTACGCCCGCATCAGCAACTTCCGCCCGTCGCCATCGCCCCAGGCGTTTGTGAGTCGCACGCCCTCCCCCGCCCCGCCCACCGGGGGGTCCAACCCGCTGAGGGCCTCGGAGGAGGAGCTGGACGGCCTCTACGCCAAGGTCAACAAGTCAAGACCCCCGCCCACACAGGCAGACAGGTGATCACTCTTTATACTTTCAAGGACCAAACTTCTGCTGGTACCCTCTTGATTTGACCCCACATGCATTGTAATACATATAAGTGTTTTTAAATGTGTGTGTAGCAAGTTGTGTAGGTACACCCAAGGTCACACACCATGGCTTGACCGGCATGACTGAGGGAGTATTTGCACATATCTAAATTCATGCGCTGCCAGAAAATGCATAAAACATGAATGCATGCTTACACTGTAGCAACACCCTTATTTATGCACACACCCACACACTCTTACATACTAATGCCATGCTAGATTTATGTAACTCCTCTGTTGTTTTTATCAACTCAATAAAATATTCGAGGTAATTACAGTATACTGTATACTCATATATGTAGAAGAAGTTTGTTTGGGGTCCACCAGGCATACAATTTGAATGTTTTACATGTTTTCCCCTCCTTTTAGGACACTGTCTCTCCCTGTTTCTCACCTTATTGGCGTGCAAACACACACATAAATATATACAGGGTCCAGGTGCAGCAGAGCACATCCTGGAAGCACAAGGTTGAATTTGAATTAAACTCTTTTCTCAGACCACCAGCTGTACCCTTGTCTGTTCTCACTACGCACTATAATGTGTTTAAGGCAGATGCTTTATACGCATATGAACGCTAAAGGATTGCGACTGGAATTACTTGAGTCAATCTCAGGTGTGCAAAGATGTCATAAGACGAATATAAAACGTGTATAAATGAGTACACAGGGCTGTGAAAAAAGTGTTTTAGAGTCAGTTTTGCTGCACTAGCCTAACCGAGTGTAGATGTGAACATGAGTTGAATTTGAAAGTTCTCCTACATGCCTTCCAAAGAAGTGAAGGTGGAGGTATTTAACAAGCAATTTAAGTCAATACAATGAAAGAATTAGCTTGAATGTGAGTAAAACCCGTACGTCAGAGCCCACCGTATTATATATTATTACTGCTGAAGTTTCAGAGTTTAACTTGCAGCCGGCTTTGTATGGGAGACAGAAAAAAAAGCAGTAAATCCAGAGAGGATTCTAATGCAAATTCATCATTCCCCGTATGAAATAATACAGCCACATTAAAACTTCCCTCAACATAAACTCTCTGACAGAAATTACTATTGACTTGCAAATCAAAAAGCTAAGCCCCAAGACACCCAATCTCATCCAGAGAAGGAGAAGAAACAGAGAGAAGGAGAGGGTTGGACGTGGAGAGGAGACAGATGGGAACGGAGAGCAGTGACAGACGGAGGGACGCAGAGAAAAAGAGAACGCGGTGTAGAGAAGGAGGGAAAGAAAGTGAGAGCCAAAATGGAAAGAGAGAAATGCGTAAATTCGAGAGGGAAGAAGTGACAGAGGAGAGGATGCAGACAAAAGAGGAAAAGCGATAATTAGCCACAGTCTAGCAGCCTGACAGATCTGTTAGACCACTTTAGCTCTCATCCACTAGTGCTGGGTACTTCATTACCAGCCTGTTTGCTCTCTCTCTCCCGCTCTCTCTCTCTCTCTCGCTCTCTCTCTCCATCGCTGTGACTCTCGGTGTGTCACTTGTCCATTCTCCGTCCCCCGGTTTGCTCATAATGTATATTAGATAGTCCTTAGCATTAGCATGATGGATGAGGGGCCATCTTTGGCTTGTTAGCTTGGTCTCCAGGGACAAAGAAAGACAGAAATAAATGTCTACTAGCGTCATGAGTGGGCGGCCATATTGCCAACACACAAATGAAAGGTACTCTTGAAGAGGCCCTATTATTCTTTTTGGGGTTCTCCCGTTCCTGTAGTGTGTTATATAGGTTTGTGTGCATGTAAATGGTTTGCAAAGGCTAAAATCCCAAATCAGACTGGGCTCTGGTTTCAGACAGAGGGTGAAAAGAGGCACTAAATAGAAATATGAACCTGAAAATGATCATGATGGAGCCCTTTTATAATGTTGTCTTTGTCTCCACTAAGAGAAATCTAACAAATGCAATATTCCCCATGCTTTAACACTAAGAGTGATAGTCCTACCTCCATAAAAATAGAGGCATATTAGTAAGTATTATCAGGTAGTGTGGCCTGATGTGATGCCACAGTCACTCCCATCCACATGCTGCCTCGTCAGCGGTTATTTTCACCCAGCTCCTCCACCTGAGGCTGGGACGAGGGCTCATTCACAAACTCTGCACATCTGTTAAAACACAACGCAGCCCGCTAGAGGTTGGAACCCCCGTGCTTTCATTCACACAGACGTACACACAGCCAGAAATAGACGCACACAGATCCACCCACCTGTAGTGTTTTTCTAGGCGAGAAAAACCTGGTGTAGCCTAGCAACAATGCTGTGTGTGGTCCGGCGGCTTTTTATGGCACCACACAAAAATCCTGGGTGTAAGCTTACCTACTTGTGTGTGTGAAATATATATATTCATGAGTTGAAGTGCGTGTCGGAGTACGTTATGTTCCCACAAAGCACTCGTTGATAGCTGCGGCATGCACGTTTTTCTCATTGTTTCCAAGGGAACAACATATCTTTCATCTTTCATCATCGATTTAATGATGCTGCTCATTATGCAAGTGAGACATCCTCAATGCTAATCGAGCTTTATCCAAATGTTTTTGAAGGTAAATGTGCATGCCTCTGCCCACTCTGTGTTTGCATAGTTGTGCCAACTGAGACATGATAGCCCCCCCCCTCAAACACAACTCCCCTCCTGTCAGAGCCCTCAACAGTGGACTCCGGCGCTGTCTCCCTAATTTACCGTTGGACATTTTCATTAGGCCTTCAATGGCAGGTGTGTGCCGTGATGGGCGTCACATCTGATTAGAGCTGTGCGAGAGGCTGACCTGTGGAGAAAAAAGGTTAGCTATGCTTGTCAAATTTTATTAGCCAGAAGGCACCGCTCGTAGCCGGAGCAAGAAACAGAGGAGAGGAGATGAGAGAGCAGCGAGGAAAAAAACAGAGAGAGGCCGAGGCAGAGAGAAGTAACGACTCCAGGGAGAGGGGTGTGTTGTCAAACGCACCATTGTGCTAAGAAAAGCAAGATGAAGGAAAGACAAATAAATGACACATCAGTGAGCATGCTCCCAGGTTTTTACAACGAAGTGTACATGCCTTTAAGTTCACCTGACACTGCGGCAAAGTCAAAATCACTGTAGACAGCCTCGACTAATTGTGGAAACATGTTGTGAAAGAAACTACAAGCTGCTTTGGATGTGGATTTCTCATTCCTGAATAGTGTTGGTTTTCTTCTTCTCATTTTGGAGCGACACAGATTTCTTCCCCTATAGAGAGGAAAGACTGGAAGGCAACCAGCGTGCAAAGCCACATTATATAAGAAGACATGCAGAAAACACAGCCTGTTAGGATTTAGACAACACCTGCCTTAGGAAGAGCTCAAAGAGGAAAAACAACACATCATTAGTGTAGGCTACGTATTAAGTCGTTGTCTCCTGTGCCTTTAAAGCCTGTTTTATTAGACTTCCTTTTTGCATCCAATCAGCTCCCAGCCTTTCCTTTGTTCATGGTCAGTTACACGGAGGACTAGTTTTAGATTGTGAGTTAATCACGTTTCATTTTTATGGCTGAGCACTTAGCCAAACACAGAAACATGATGAGTAATCTGTCTGTTGTGTTAGACGCCATAGGAAACAGTTGCAGCTCTAAAGGGGGTCTGACATATGAGGGCATTGTAGTGTTAGTTACACCATGGGAAGTGTAGGATCCAGTGTTTTAAAGCAACAGCCTGGAGTTCGGACAAAAAAGGAACATGTATTTATGTACGGGGGACATTCAAAAGCTCTTTGTTTCTCCATTGCCTCCAGTTTGGAGCTCCACAGAGTTTCTATCTGACCCAAAACTGTACCAGGAAATCAAACATTGACCGCGCACTTTGATGTCTGCTTACCTCCAGCTCGCAGGCAGGCAGTGAAGAAAAAAAAGTGCCTGCCTGAGCGTTTTCCCCCCAGTGTGTTGTGTTTAAATCAGCTGGCCGCAGCGAATAGAAGTCACCAAATCAGCCGGCGGCGGCGGCGCACACTTCCTAATTAGTCTGCCCCCACACAGGCTCACTCCACAGGATAGTTGCATTTCTCACACTCTCTCCCGCTCCTTTTCATATCTGAAGGTTTTTGTTCTCACTCCAGTTCCCCCTGCTCCTTCTTCTCACTCATTTCCAAGTTTCCGTCTTCATGTTGCTGTTTGGTTTTGCTCTCATTCTGTCTTCTGGTGCGTCTTTCATTTCCTGATCCTGTGTCTCATCTCCTCTTCCTCTCGTCTCCATCCTCCTCCTCCTCCTCCTCCTCCTCCTCCTCCTCCGGTATCACTTCCCTCGGTGCGCTCTCAGATCGACCTGCATAGTCAGATACTCTGAAATATGGATGGATTATGATAGTTGCGCGGAAAACACGTCTGGCTTAAGTGGTAGCAAATTCTGTGGTTGAGCTAATATTGCAAAATAAGACTATATTGATGTATTGATTAGTTGCGGTCTATTTACATGTCCGACACTCAGGCTGATGCATATGAGCTTACCACCCTCTTGGAAATAGATGCACAAAAAGGGTTCTTCCTGAAGGGCTGAACTAAAGAATGTGGACAAGCCCAAACTCCTATTTGGTACGAGTGAGTCCCTCTAAGTTCAAACCTCCATACATCACATATAAAAGGTTTGTTTGAGGAAAATCCGCACAAATCCCTGGTTCCTTTCCCAATCTGACTTTAAGGTTGATTCTGTACTCTAACATGGGGGTCTGACTACAACCTGTCTGAGCCCAGCTGTCTCTCTGTGTCAAAAACAGTCAAATCGTATTATTCCATCGAGAACATTTTAAATCACCAAAGCTTTTTCCTGTTGTGTTTATGCAACTGGTCCCAGGTTTGCAGACAGGCAATCAGCAGCCGTTATGAGCTGCTGATGACAACAGGGGAGCCTTCCTGTCTCCCTCACACACACATGTAGGACAGACTAAATGTGTCTACTTATACACACACTTATGCATCCTCTCCCTCTTGTGTCACTGTTTGGAAAGCAGCCAGCTAAAAGTGTCAGCCCATCAACCTGCTGCTCACCAAACTCCAGCCCCCCCCCCCCCCACTAATGTTGTATCCAGAATCAGCCTCTGTCTTCAGCTATTAATATGATAATATGTGGCGTTGTCAGTGATGGAGGCCGCGGCGTAATGAGATAATTACAGTATTGTTTCATTGGAGGAGCGACACGCACGCTCAATCAACATGGCAGCTTTAATTACGGGCCCAGGGATTGGCTAATGGGTTCGGTAGAAAAGGAGTGGCGTGAAAAATAAATAAATAAACACAAGTTGGCATCATGCATCTGTTCTCTGAGGGTCCGTTGTTTGTTTGTTTGGGCATAGAGAAGAGCCAGTGGGCGGCAGAGGGTGAGTAAGAGCAATAAAAATCAAGTAATAAGTGAATAAATAAATAATACGGGAGATTAGGTGTGAATATCTGAACAGCAAGGTTGTTGCAGGACGCAGCACTAGGGGGGAAACGCAGATTAGTATTGATTAGCTGAGCGTTGAAACAAACCACTGAAGCGATCTGGAGAAGCAACAATCAGCACGTTGGATACATCCTTTATTTAGGAGTAGCATCTAAAAAAAAAAATTGGAAACTCCCAATGGCAGCAGGCACATAATAGCGTCATTTTTCACATCAACATAGTAGCACTAAAGTGTGTCTAACTCATTAATGACTCACATGAATCTGGACATGTTCACCCTGTCACAGCGAGTCCCAAATACTCAATTACGAGGATTAACTCGACGTGGAAACACACACTTTTTACACATTCCTGAGGTTCACACAAACACACTCTCAGCCAGATTTTCTAATTAAAGGCAGGGTCACAAGAGAGACTTAAACACGTAAGCTATGTACTTCACTAATGAACCTCTCTATCTGCTCTGTGTCTCGCTCTCCTTCCCTCTTTTTCGGTCAATATCTGCCTGGGGGTCAGACCATTAGCATGTACAACACAACGCCCGTTTGATGAAGGCTGCGTGGGTGTTTACCTGCCGGACAACGGCCTTCCTCACGTGTACTTGTTTGAGTTTTGCAGGGCAGAAGAAGGGCTGCAAAGTTTGCCCCTTTTTTGGAATATCTTTACACAGTGTATCTCCCGCAGACGAAACAGCATATCAGTGTCAATATGAGATACGGTTTCCAATGCCGCCAGTACACACAGATAAACGTCAGGACTATGTCGTACTTTGCTAGCACATGCTGAGGATTGTGCTCACTCAGGCGCACCATTTTGTGTCTGGACTTTTGTGTGTGTGTGTGTGTCCGTACTCTTGTTTATGCATGCTCTGTACTCCCAGGTGTGTGTTGCTTATCTAGCATTAAGGTCCAGTGAGCATGATGATGTTTCTCTTGAAGTTTTGTCCCAATTCTGTCCTAGCTCTTATCTTTTCACACCCCTTATTTTGTGTTTTTTGTCGCCGAGGTATTTTTCTTTTTCACATTTCGGTCACTTGAAGGTCAGGTTCGGTGGGATCATTCGGGTGACGACTTTTCAATGTGTCTGCAGTTCAATTGAGGAGAGCGCCGCATTGGTCTATGTCACTTCACAGTGAAAAGGCACATCCATCAAGTGCCTTTTCCTCCCTTTTTTGCTCCATTTTCCCACCTTGGTTTCCTCTGTCAGCTGTGGAAAGTTCAGTTCATGCACTGATGTCTTCTCAGAGGCAGCACTTTGTGGATATTATCTGCCTGCCTGTCAATCTTCCCGCGCTGTCAAGGGTTGTCACTGCAAGGCAAGAAAAATACAGGTGGATTTAAGAAAAGGATGAACCTGAATGTGCCATGTTCCACCTGGCTTTTTTCTTCCCTTTTTAATCCCCAGCTGCGGTGAAAATTAAACCGTTTATCTGGATTTAGTTTAGGAATTTGACTTGAAGGCCATGATGAGAACCCTGTTGGTCTTTTTACCTAAATCCACAAGATTTAGCTAATAGCTTCTCGGCAACTATCTTCCATTTTTAACACCCTCTCTGTCTGTCTGTCTGTCTGTCTGCAGTGATCCACGTCTCCAGGGGCAACGCAGGGAGCACCAGCAGAACCGAGCCGCTCCGGGATACGATGAGCTGGAAGCCGCTCGACGCAGAGCGCTGGAGAACGACCCGAGTCGGGTAAGTGTGCATGCATCTGTTATGTGTAGCTTTTTAGTTTACAAGGAGAGCTTTTTTTTCCACTTCTTCCCCTAAATATCCATCCAAACGCCATGGTATGACACACAACACGCCCACACTGGACACCATTTTCAAAGATTGAAATGTCAAATGAAGGAATACGTGTCTCCAGAGCTTCCTGTGAGGCCGGCCTGTTTTCCCCCTTAGCCTTTCTCGGGCTATTTTCAGCTCCCTTGTTAACATTTTGAGGTGCCGAGTGCCACCGAGGCGCGCCCCGCTCTCCTCCTGATTTAGTTTATGGAGAGATCTATTAGACCGGTGACATTTCCATCCACCCTTTCCTTTAGCTCAATACAACCTCCCTTCGCTCTTCTCCCTCTGGTATTATTGTCCTCTTCTCTCTCTTTCTTTAACATAGTTTGGACCCAAGGGGCCTGACATCTCCCTGCAGTCGCCTCTCCTAAGCAAGCTGCACTGCTCCATGTCCCTGAGCCTGTATCGATCCGGCCTGAGGAGTCATTTCATTTACCTCCGTACACTCCCGAACTCCACCACGGAAATCAATAGCCATTTATCAGACATTTTAAAAAGGGATCTTATTAATTGCGTGCCCAAGGATGCAGAAAATCGCACTTTGATCCAAATCAGAATTCTTTCAAAAGGCATTTCCTTTAAGCTTGCAAGGGAACTCTGGGAAATATGGGATACTGACAACACACCCAATCACCTGACAACGTGCTTCCTGCAGTGCTCGTTTCCTCGCTGATTGTGCTCCACGTGTATATTGAGCAATGAAGCCCTGCCAACCAGTCTTCATTAGGCAGAGACACTCTCCGGCTGCTTTCCTTGAGGCCCAAAGGTCTTCATCACTCATTACACTTCCCTGTGCAGCATGTGCCGCTGCCTTCAGAACCCAAACACTGATGCAATTAAAGCGCAGCAAGCGTGAGGCGCAACCTCTGCCCTCATTTGTTGTTTTTCACCCAAAAAAAAGACATAGGTGTGTCCACGGTGAAAGCCAGCGGTATGTTGGTCCCCTGAGGAGCCCGATAATGAAACACCCCCTCTCACAATCACACACACGTGGCGAAGAAACAGTAAAACCGTAAAACACCTGGGAAGTAATATCTGGCACAAAAAGAAAAGAGAGGAGATGGAAAGATGTATAGAAACACGACATGATGGCGGAAAAATTCTTGTATTATACGAACAACTGGAAATAAATGTATATTTTCCAATCAGTTCTCAGTAGATATAGTAAACAGAACTGTGTGGATGCAAATATATAAACATTTGAGACTGGAATAAGACATCATTGAGTGCTTATGTGGATGGTTGCTACCTTTTAGTTTCTGTGTCCACACTAGGACATTACTCCACAAATATTTACCTGTTTTCTCTCTCCGTGTGGTACAACTATAGTGTAAATGCGGCCCACTCAAGCGCGGCACTCTATGGCTGGCTTCGGCCTTGTGTGATCAGCCTTTTAGCTGCCGCCTCAACCACCAGCGCCGCGATGCTCTTTTATGCTATTTCTGTAGCCTTGAATGGTTAAAAAGGTTTATCCAAGCTCTCCACACAAGACCAGGAGCTCCCTCTCTGAGTGGTTTGTACGTGAAAGGGAAGACGAGTCTGTGTGTGTGTGTGTGTGTGTGTGTGTGTGTGTGTGTGTGTCCATTTGCTCGAGAAGGAACCCACTAAGCTACGTTGGTGTAAACAAAAGCGTGGATAAAAGCTTGTGGTTCAGTATCTATTCATGTCTCTGTTTATTCTCTCAGCGGTCATCCATATACATGATCTCGAGGTGGAGTTGTCACTGCGGGTGTGTGTGTGTGTATGTGTGTGTGTGTGGAGAGCCACGTTTCAGTGGGTGTGTGTGCAGCTAAATCCGGCCTTCAAACAGGACTTCATGTCCCCCTCCTCATCTCTCTCCACTAACCCCTCTCCCTCCATGTCCCTGTCTTTCTATCCTTCTCTAATGTGACCCTTCCCCCTTGTTCCCTGTCTGTGTATAGGTCACACTTGTAATTATGACAATCACACTGTCCCCTTCTTTCTGTCTATTTTCTCTGTATGCTAATGATAGGCTCTCTGTAATGTCTTGATGGCCAATTAAGCCACATGGCGTTTTCTTTTCATAGACTCCTTTGTTCTGTAAGTCGGGAATAACTTTTCACATGACATTGTTATTGGTCAGACGGATACAGTTTCAAACTCAATATTTCCACAATCTACTGTAGAATGTTGTACGGGATAAATAAGGGGTCTAACCCTTTTTTCCAGCATCGATGAAGCAGAGGCCCAGATATCCCATGTTTATATCCATTGTGTTATATCCATAGACAAACTGAAAACAAGTATAATACTGTTTATAGAGGATAGTAGTTTGTACAAAATGATTTCTGAATAAAGCAGGATTTTGCAATTATCTAAAAGTGGTGAATTTTGAAGATTTCAAGTGCTCAGGTAGCAATTTCAAGCAAAATATCATGTTTTCTGTTTTGTAAACGTACTGTTTCAGCTGATCATGTGACTCCACAGTGCACCAGAGTCCATTTTATCCAGTGTAACAAAGACGCACACAGTATAGAAAAAACACACACACACACATACGCCCATGAACTCATGCATCTTATCTTCAACTCATTACCCTGCGAGTCGTAAACTACAGTGGCAGCACATGTGACACCTTAATGAACACAGAAGTCATTGAAAAAGCACGCACACGACTACACACTCGGAGTCATTATAAAACACACACACACACAGAGGCACTCGCAAAAGTCCAGATACGACTTGTCATCCGTCGCGCAGCTGTTTTCTGTACTTCTCTCTAATGTCGTGTGTGTGTGGACATCCATCACCTTGATGATATTTTAATGTCACATCCTCGGGCTGTCTCAATCTCTCCCCCCCCCCCCCCCCCCCCCCCCCCCCTTTCACTTTTTCTCTCCCTCCCACACGTCGGCCATCACTTCATAAATAAACCCCCACATCATTAAGTAAACACGCAGCAGCCTGTCACCGTGATAGATGGCCCACACACACACACACACACACACACAAGTACTGGTAGTTTGTGCCCACAGGCAAAAGCCCCGTTGGGTTTGTGCGCCCACGGTCCTAATGATGTGCACGTATTCAACTGAGATCTGAGAGTTAGGAAGTCAGAAAGTTATTACCAGCTGCAGATGTGACCGCTGGTTATATTTTGATTTTGATTCACTGGTGAAATCTGTTCCACCACTGCGTTTACGTCACAAGTGCCTCCTTACATCACTCCCTTTTTCTCTCGCTCACCTGAGGACACACACTCACAGTGCTAATGGGGGTGCTGGCAGGCCGTCCCGCTGTGTGTCTACTGTTGGGGAAGCTGCTTATAAAGACAAGAGGGGCACCCGAGGGAGAGGAGCGGGAGAGAGCAGGCAAACGAGGGAGATAATAAGGGAGTGGCAGCGAGGCAGGAGAACAGAGAGGGGGACATGTGTTTACAGAAAACGTTTTAAGGTACCTGTACTTGAGTATTTCCACCTCTACTCCACTATATGTTGGCAGCAGACTTTGAACTTTTTACTCTTTTGCAGGTAATATTATTAGTGGAGCCCTATTATGTTAATATTTGGGGTTTATATTTTCATTTTGTGCCAAATCATTGATTATTTACTATGTATGATTATGTATAGCAGTTTATCTCATCATTAACAGCTGCAACATTTAAATGACAGACACATTAATGCATCATTAATTTAAACCAGTGATATAATATATATTATTCAGAGAATGGCCCCTTTGGATAATAACTTATTTTAGATTTGGTATATTTAGCTTTTACTTAAATGTACTTTACTTAACTCACGTATGAAGGAATGGAAAGGAGATAGTTTAGAAAATGTATAGTAGAGATTATGGCAAGCTCAGGGTGTCCTCCAACATGACGTTCAAATCTACCTGAGGCATACAAGGAGATTTCCCTATGAGAGTTGCTGTTATGTTGTAGCATGCATATTTATTGTGTGCAATACATGTTTGGTGTTTGCTCGCTGTCCAATTAATTAGAAACTTTGTGCAAATAAACTGTTATAAATGTAGAATTTCTAAAAGAAGTGGAATGGGTGCGTGGGAGACGGAGATGTGGCTGTGTGCATATGGAAGAAAGTGAGGGAGCAGGAGCAGCTGGTCCGGGGGTGTTTCTCTGAAGGAGGCAGCACTAATGTTAGTCTAATGCTAGTGTTAATCAGGTTAGCATATGCCCCGCGTGTGTGCGTGTGTGTGCGTGTGCGTGTGTGTGTGTGTGTGTCTCTCGATTGGAGGTTTTACCGATGCACCTGCCATATTTTAATGAGGAAAGAGTGAAGGATGACCAGCTAGCACACACACAATCACTCAACATCTCTCTGTGTCTGTCTGTCTCACTTTCTTTCTCTCTCTCTCTCTCTCTCACACACACACACACACACACACACACACACACACACACACACACACACACACACACACACACACACACACTCACACTCACACTCTATCCCCATGGAAAAAGCTGCATTTGAGGCATCCAGTCAAGTTGGATTCAGTCCCGCTTTCTATTTTTCATGCTCACAAGTTTAGAACCTATGTAGCCTGGACTCACTTTACACACACGTGCACATGCATACACACTACATACAACCACAGATTGACACGCGAGTACCAACGCCCGCTCACACACATTTTATAACAGACTTTTAAGAGGTTACATACCACAAACACATAAGAAATCCACAATCAGGCAACTATTACACACACACACACACACACACACACACACACACACACACACACACACACACACACACACACACACACACACACACACACACACACACACTCATCATCAAAGCGCTCAAACCTCAGCCAAACAGAGGCTCTTTTCAGAGTTCATTTCTTCAGCCAAGCCCACGCTGGCAGCTCACACACACCAACTTTTTTGAGGGGAAATCTCGTAATTCCGTAATTACACG